ACCTCCCTCCAAACCCTCCCCCTCCTACCCTCTAATATCCCCCCTGCCTCCCTCCCCTCTCACTCTCTATTACCACCCCCTTCCCCCCTCCCCTCTCATCCTCTAATACCACCCCCCCCCTCTCCCCCTCCAACCAAACTCACCCCTCCAACCAAACTCACCCCCCCCCTTCTCTCTCCCTCCAACCAAACTCACCGTCCCCCCTCCCCTTCTCCCCTCCAACCAAACTCACCCCCCCCCCTTCTCTCCCCCTCCAGACGGCCTTCCTCAAGTTCGACCGCAGCCACGGGGGAAGACCTCCTCCTACCACCTCCGGCCGGCGCTGTGGGAGGCGGGGGTGACGGTGTCCAACAAGGTCCTCGAGTGCCTGGTCCTCCGCTTCGGCAAGAACAGGGTCCTGACTTCCGAGGCCTTCCTCATGGCCCTTGTGAGACTGCATCTGGCGCACGGTGAGTGGTGGGGAATGGGAGGGGGGGGGGGAGGGGGACCGCTGCTGGCGTGGGCGGTGGTTGGGTAGTTGGTCGTTAGGGTAGTTTGTGGGTCTCGTGTTCGTTATGGTCGGTAAGGGCATCGTCTGTTATCTTCGTTGTCATTATCGGAATTAGTTTTTTTTTATCGTTTTTTTTCATGTCATTGTCATTGCCATCATGATCATTATCACTGATACTATTTTCGATGCCATTATCATCATTATCATTATAATCACTTCATCGTCATTTTCATTATCATCAGCATTATCACAACTGCAATTATAGTCGTGGCCATCGATATGATAATAATAAACTTTATCCTCTTTGTCGCTATTATTACCATCAGTAATAACTACAATTAAATCAACATAACACTATCATGAGCACCACCATGTCCATCACCATCATCACTACGACCAAAATCATCATAATCTTCACCATCTTTCATAGGAACTTATCGACTTATTTCAAATCTAAATATATATTTTTTTTACAGATAAGCTTTTATCGTGAATATCACAATAAACACAAACTAGAATACTGAGACAGATTTTTACATTCTGAACTTTTTTTTTAATTACCACAATGAGCCTAGAAGTAAATTTGATGTAATACACGCAGAAATATATACACTAATTGTCGTTAAGAAATATCATAATGGACACGTACAAGAATCTTGGAATAAATATGTATTCTTTGAACTTTTTAATTAGGATAATGAGCGCGGATGAAAACTTTCAGTTAATGCACGCAATATTAAAGGCTTATTTTATTTTATTTTATTTTATTTTATTTTACAGAACGTTACCACAGCATAGACACGAAGATGAAGGGAAATCCACTGTCTTTAGAAGAGGTAATGTTTTTGTCTCCTTTTATGTTTGTGTTTATGTTTTTTGTTTGTTTGTCTGTCTGTCTGTCTTTGTTACTTTCTTTTTGTTTTTGTTTTCCATAGTTTGGGTTGTATTTCTTTGTTTTCTGCCTGTCTCTATCTCTATCTCTTTTTTTATCTCCCCTCTTCCTTCCTCTCTCCCTCTTCCTTCCTCTCTCCCTTTCCTTCTTCCTCCCTTCTCTCTCCCTGTTCCTCACTTTCTCACCCTCTTTTTACAGTACCAACCTTCCACATGACGGAAAATACCCAAACTAAGTCCTTTTCATACCACTAAGTTAATCAGCTGTTCCCTATCTCTCTATATCTTATTTTGAAACATTAAATTAACCCTTTTTTGACCTCTCTCTGCAGATGATCCTGATGACTATATACTCGTGATGACTGAGGTATTGGAAGGTCTGACGTCATCAACCTGACGTCATCAACCTGACGTCATCAACCTGAGGGACTTTCTGGCGCTCTGAGACAACGGTTTCGGTGACGTGTACATCTTCAGCGGTGTACATGCGTGCTATCGGTCTGCGATGTACTCTTATATCATCAGTCTGGGATGTACACACACATCGGGTTGTGATGTACACTAGTGGTATTAGTCTGCGATGTGCATCCATGATATCAGTCTACGATGTACAGTATACCCATGATGTCAGTCTGGGATGTACGCTTATGATATCAGTCTGTGATGTACACCTATATCATCAGTCTGTGATGTACACCTGTATCATCAGTCTGTGATGTACACCCAAATTATTAGTCTGGGATGTACAGGTATGATATCAGTCTGTGATGTACACCGCTGTTCGTTTTTACATGACACAGAGCTGTTGATCGTTACATTGCAGGTCGCTGTGCATTTACCCAGTCATGTGTACATTGTCAGTGGTGTACATCTTCCCGAACCAGTGATAAGAATTAATTTTACGACTGTATTTTATTGTCCGACGTCGAGTGGCAATTGTCGACGAGTTTTAGTTATAAAAGCAACTTCGATTTGTTTGAGATGAAATGAAAGAAAGAAAAAGTCACATGCTATAATTAACAATATGGTGTAATTCTGATAACGGTGGAATTGAATGCCGATAAAAAAAGTGATTTTGTGATCTGAAGTGATGGACAGCGGCAGTGAAGGACGCAAAAGTGCAATCATTGGCAGAATAAATTGATAAAGTACGCGGATATATAAACAATACGTCTGGCAGTGCAGTTCCTTTCTCCTGTACGATAACCACATCCCCGTGTGTTGTTCACGAAAAGCCGTTATATCTAAATACTCCAAAATCCAATATGACAAAAAAAACTACCCCTTTAACCTGTGAAAAAAACGACGTAAAAAAAAAAAACAATAATCAGCGAAACTACAAAAAAAAGAATCAACAGAAAAGGAATTAAAACGAAAAAAACTGGTCTTTCCCTCACCCACCCCACTCCAAAAATAAAAAGAACACGGGGAAAAGAACGTGTATATGATTTTTACTGCGTACTACAAGTTTGCGCTGCCTAAGTAGAGAAGGCTGTTAACACGAGAGCCACTGAGAGGAACTCCAGGAACTCGAGCTTAAAGTGAAGTGAAGCCGCAAAGATGACACTGAAAATTTTGGTCCAAAAAAAAGTTATATTTTTACTGTGAGTTTTTTTTTATTTATTTTTTAGTTATTGTTATGTTATCATTATTGTTATTGTCATTATTTCTGATGTTATTGTAATTTTCTCAGTATTATTATGTTTTTGTGTTAACATTGTCAGCAGTAGTGATATGATTAATTATTATTATTATTATTATTATTATTATTATTATTATTATTGAAGTGAAAAAAGAGTGTTAGCAGCATTCAATTCAATTGAGATAATGAATTATGGAAAAAAAATAGATAAAATTAATAGCAATAGGCAACATGAACACTGCTCAACTGTTTTTTAAGTAAAATTTTTGGTTTTGGATTTTTCTCGGGAGATATTTTAAGGGGAAAACGGTTTCTTTTTTTAAAATACGTGAAAAACGTAAATGTAGATAATTTGTCATATATAATGTCTATATGTCTAGATGACGTTGGTGTATATATTGTAATTGATCCATGAGTCAAACATATCATTTTAAAGTTATATTCATTGTAATATTTTCTGTTCAATATACTTAGGAATACTTAGGTCAACTACGTATAATATATGTATATATATATATATTATATATATATATATATATATATATATATATATATATATATATATATAAACACATTGATACAGAAATACACATATATATATACTATATATGTATATATGTACATGTTTATGTATTGAAGTATAGTGTTATATATATAGTGTTCATAACTTTTCTTTTTTTTTCTTTTTTTACTGTGCTGTGTTCACCATCTTCACATCATGTAGATTTCTCATTTACTTGACTACCTTAAGGAACATGAAGATATGTACATAATCAGTAAAAAAAATACATATATGGGTATGTTTGATTGAAAGTTTTTTAGATATTTTATTTTGTCATAGTCTGTTTCTTATTAATTGCTTCGTTCCAATGGAATTGATATGTACGTGTGTGTGCATTTTTTTTTTTTTTTTTTAATGTTTTAATATGTTTTCTTTTTCTTTCATACAAAACATTTTTTTCCATGTTATGTGGGAAGGTAAAAGTTACCCGTGTGTATATATGTGCATTTATATTTCATTTTTCGATTACCCGTGAAATAGTTTTATCTTTTATTTCCGCGCTGTAATTTTGTTTAATAGTAATCAAGTCACTAATTGTCATACACTTAAAATGTGTGATTATAGAGATCATACTAACGCATTAACATGATTAATAATTAATGCAATGACGATACGAATAAACCAAATTACCCGTTTTGACAAAGTTAAAAAGTCTATAGTTACTAAAAAAAAGAGTAGGCCTAATATGCTACGAAAATTAACTATTACTTTTGTTATTTTTTACGCAGAATTATATATTTATAGAACATTTTTTACGAAACGAATATGAAATTATTTTTGATGCAAATATATATATTAGGTATAATATACAGCCGTGAATCATATATATTTGAGTTACAATTTCTTACGAAGAAAACTATCTTCATGAAACTGCCATTGCATAACACTTTATAGTTTTTTTTAAGTGTTTCAGTTTAAAGAAAAGAAAAGAAAAAAATAACACGCTACCTACCTCTATATGCTATGTTTCATTCTATAATTAATATACCTGATTGAAACCAAATCTTTTTGTAATGTCTTAGTTTGGTGCTGATGTCTATATTTTTTCTAATTTCTTTGGTGCGGAAAG